CTTAAAGGTACTGACTTATGTCCTATGTAGCACCTGTCAGGCCAGCTAAAGCTGGTAGCATTGGTTACTCTTCAGATTCTTTTAACTCAAGAAGAGGCTGACAATAAATTATTCCTGTTTGAATAATTATCATCTATTTAGGCAATGAGTGCAGGTAAAAGGGCCAAGCAAAAATTGTGATAATTTTACTCCATAAGCCTGTAATTCTTATATAGTGAGCATTCACAACTTTGTAGTAAGGAACTATATATTAAGCATTTATTCATATAATCCTATAGTTCTCATAGCAAACCAGAGTGTGTATAAGTTGCTCTTCAAATTTTTGTAATGTATTTTTCTTCATTTATAAATGTCAAAAACCATCATGTAATGGTATAGCATGGAAATAAATCTTGCAAAAGGCTGAAAATAGTTAACTACTGATAATTAATTAGTCATAACTTGCAATCTCCATGGAGTGATAAATTAACAATATTTTTTAGTGTATTGTACTGATCAACTGCCTTACATTTAAGTTCATGAATAAATGTGGAGGGTACACCCAGTCTTAATTTTCATTTGAAAAGTTTTGGTTGACATCTTTAAAACATAGGACTAGGAAGCTTTCTAACAATAATTTCTGTCCTTTGCAACCTCTGCTTTATTTATTAAATGTATGCAACACTAAGATCTATTCTGGTTAGTGCATGTGCTCCAGCTTTTTGGGTCAGGGACTCTCTTGTTTCGTGCATGTGGGGCACCTGGTTATGGCTGGGACTTCCAGGTGTTTTCACAATGCAAATAATTATTATTGTTTCTCTGAGGCCAGTGTATCAGCTATTCCTTCTATTCCTCTAAAGACTCATGTGTGGTATTGATGCTAATTCTTTTTTATAAACTGATGGGCTAGGGACAGAAGCTACACACAAACCAGTTTAAGCGATCAGAAACTGGTTAAAACCTGTAACAGAACAAAAATTCAGTGCGTATAAATCAGTTTAAAAACGGCAGAAACTGGTTTAAGATAAACCTGCTATAGTAGCAGACTTAACTGATTTAGGTCAAACCAGCTTATGGAACTTCTGTCCCAGACCCTTTCCTGGTTCAAGTTACATCACAGTCCCCCAGCATCCCAAGATGCTTTGCAGACCTTGGCTGGACTGTCCTGTTTGCTCCAGCAGAGCAGGGTTGGCCCTGCTTCTCACTGTTCTGGCTAGAGAGTTGGCTGACAAGGGGGTAGGGGTAGGAAACCTGGCTGGGGATGCAGCCTGGTCTGCCTGTTGGGGACAGAGTAGCCCCTGCCAGACTTCCCTGCTAGAGTGGAGGAGGAAGGGACGTGGGCTAAAGTCTCAGGCAGAGGGGAGGGAATGGGGTTTAAACCCTCTCTGTAGCCCACAGGGCCCCAGCTATGCTTCTGTCCCCCCATTTCCCACTCAAGCAGGGGAGAGGGCAGCCCCTGCCAGGGTTTCCTCCCTCTCTCCCCACTTGAGCAGAGAGGAGGGGGCATAGCTATGACCTGGCTGGGGGTAGCAGGGTGAAGCAGGGAAGCGGGGTTTCATCCCATCTCCCTCTCCCACTAGCATGGGACCCCAACCAGGGTTTGCCTGACAGGGGCGCAGCAGCCCCTCCCAGGCTTTCCTGCCTCCTGCTCATCACTCAAGTGTTGGGGGGCATGGCCAAATGCTGGACCCAGGCTGGCAGCCTGAGGCAAAAGAGGGGGAGGGAGGGAAGGGGGTTTAATTCCCCCTCCCTCCTTTCTCTCACTGGGCACTGGCTGGGGTTCTGTGTCAGTGGGACAGAGGAAGGAAAGGGGATTAAATCCCTTCCCTCCCCTGCTTCGCCTCAGCATGCCAGCCGGGGGCTGGGGTCTGGCCATGACCCCTGCCATGCGAGCAGAGGCAGGGTGGGAAAGCCTGGCAAAGGCTGCTTCCCCCTTCCGGCACACCCTGGCTGGGGACCGTGCAGGCCAGGGTGGGGGTTTAAACCCCTCCCCAGTCATACTCAGCTGCCTGCCGGAACCCCCCTCCCCACTTCAGCTCAGCTTCCCTCCAGCCTTTTCAGCTACTGCCAAAGGGAAGGGAGGGCTCGCTCTAATGCCCCCTAGGTTTTAGTCTGAGCCACTTCAGGCATATGGCTGCGTTTCTGGAATCAAAAGTGAATGTCTATTTATTTGCTTCTCAGTTCAGCCTAGCCAGGCTAGATTAACCTGCAAAGATTGAATCAATTGAGGATCAGGCTTTTTGAATGTCTGTACTTAGCCATTAACCATTTTTCCCCCCTTCATGTTTTAGGCTGTCTCTCTATTAAACCTGTGTGTGTGTTTTCCTAAGCAGTTCCTGAGGCTACATCTTGTGCAGCTCCACTTGTGGAAGAAATTGTGGGAGAACAAGTACAGATCATCAACCAGCTTTCTCACTCCTGTGTTGGTGAGACAGGTGCCCCAATAGTATCCCTGAGACCCCACAACATCTAAAACCTTTTTTATAGAAAAGGAAGGGTTAGGGTGATGTCTCAGTATGTTTCACTCATTTAGGTTTAGAAATATGCTTCTACCTCTTCAGCTATGACCACTGTAACGAACAGTGTTGGCTCATTCATAGGTACTAAATTAGTGCTGTATCATGCAGCTAATTAGACCTCAGTTCTGTATCGAGGCTCTCAAAGCTCATCTGGCAAGAGTGGCAAAGGGCAAGGGTGAGACAGCAAGGATTGCTTCAGTGTGGTAGACTAAAAATTCAGAAATTCAAGCTAAAGAATGTGAAAATTAATACCTGTAAGGGGCAGTCCTGGCTGGTAGGCCACATCCAAAGAAATTTGGCTCATGGGCCACAGTTTGGGACCCCCTGTTATAGACTGTTATGATGTTGTAGTTGATTTGACATATAGATTTGAAAATGCTATGTCAAACTAAACTTTAGAAATTATCTGTGGAAAGGAGACTTTGGCAATCGAAGCTTTTTGGGACAAGAGAAAATGTGGGAGAGTTCTCATGGTTGTTGGCATCCAAAGACTTTTGCAAATTAGGAGGAAATGTAATTCCTCTTCCCTCATGATAGCAGGACTGGAGGTGATGTGATTTTTTTTTTTTTTTTTTTTTTTTTTTTTTTTATTGCGGGGCAGGGGAGAGGTTTGAATTCCTAATTACCCCACTGCACCTGGCCCCAGTATACCTCAATACATTCAGATGGAGAATCCAATTACCTAGATACCTTTGCTAAAATGAAATAGTAAATGTTGACACTTAAATTGTCCACCTCAGCTTTAATAAATCATAAAGGTGACTGGGTCAGTAAATGCTTCTCTAGACTTTAGAGTAGAGAATGATGGTGCATCAACTTCTAAATCTTTCTTTCCAATCAGGAAACAGATTGTTTTCATTAGGAGGAGAAATTGGTGGTAGAATGAGATATTTCTTTGATCTTACTATTTTCCAGTGAAATACAAATTCGTAAATGAACAGCATGGCAAATGGAATAAAGTTTCCTTGCACAAAATTCAGAGTTGATGTTTCCAGCTACTGCTGTATGCAGAAAATGCTTTTTGGCTTTTGGTCAGTACTGCTCTAAATACATCTTTTATGGCCTGTTTGCATGGAGGGGAAGTGGCAGTTTGTTGGCTGCCAGTTTTACAAAGTTCCAAACAAATCACACTCTCAGCATCCCATCCATCTAGACTTTGGATGGTGGCCCCCACTGTTTGAGCTAGCACTAAATCAGTGGGCGTTTAATCTTTGGCAATCCCTCACAGTTGAGGATGATTGTCTTATCTGTTGGTCCCGAAGATGGCTGACAAGGCCAATCTGGGATTGACAGACTCTGCAATTTGGGCACATGCTTCCATGCAGGGTAGGTGGCTTTGGATTTTTATGTGACCCATGACATGCTGTTGGCTGCTTCCATTTTTCTGTCTCCAGTTGTCATCAAAAAGTTTCAAAGTACTGAAATCCTTGCAGCAGATACTTCCTCCATTTGGGGTGGTCATGGGTGATAATCTTCCACAAGTTGATGTTAATGTTGCATTTTTGCAAGTTGGTTTTGAAGATATGCTTGAAGTGCTTTCTCTGCCCTCCTCTTGAGCATATGCCTTGATTGAGCTGGGAGAGTAAAACTTGCTTTGGTTGTCTGGAGTCAGACATCTGGATGATGTGTTTGGCCCAGTGAAGTTGATGTTGGATGATCCTCCATTGTTTGAACTAGTACTCAATTAATGTGTGTTTAATATAATGTGACTGAAAGGTAGTTTGTAACTGCCAATTAGTCAGGTGCTTGCTGGGAGCCATCCAGTATCTTTTACCCCTAATTTCAAATATTTTTATTTGGCTACGATGACCATGCTTTTTTTCATATTGCTGAGCATGAGAGTACTGGTCAGTACTGTTAAATGTCAAAGTAATTTAAGGTTTTATTTACTTAATTGCAGGCTTTTCTAGTTTCTGTTGAATCGCCAATAATGCCTAGTATGGCTTTCTGGCAGGCTTCTGGTAGGTCCTGTTTACTGTCACTGCAAACTTGACTCTTCCAGCTTTTTTTTTCTTGTACACCAAGTACATTTGATCTGGGAATTGCTGTTCTAATAAAAACAAAACTCCCCATGGTGTCATTTTCATTGAATAATTAAATATTCCCTCTAACTCTGATATGTATATGATTTAATTTTATATTGGTTTATATAAGAAAAATCAAGTTAGTTGATTAAAAACTTTATTGCATTGTCATTTGTTTAAACAACTTAAACACTTAGAATTACTATTCGACAGTTATTCTTAGCCTTCATATGTGAGTATTGTGTACCATTAAAATAATGGATGAAATAATGTTTTAAACTCTAAACGTATACAGAATTCTAATTTTATATTCTATTTAAGAAAGATATTGGTTTAGATTTATATAACTATTAAAAAAAATTATGTGCAGTAGTACTGAAAGTTTGTATGACAATTATTTTTGCATTTCTTCCTCTTGTGGTTTTAAACATGCATATTTTAATGTGGCTTTAATATAGTTTTTTCCACTTTTCTTTTAGACAACTGTCTGTTCTTGCTAGTATTAGCTGAAATCTGGTAAATGACTAAGGCAGAACAAAGGTAATTTATTCATTAATGGTATGAGACCATCAAATGTACACAAACTTATTTAGTATGTTTTATTCTGCGTAGTTACTGTTACAAGGAACTGTGCCTTGCAGTTCATGTTTGCTTCCCAGGTTACCATTTGGCACTTGTACGTGCTTGCAAATGAAGTGCTGTAGTCAAGCATGTGATTTACAGGATGTAAGAGATAATGCTGTTTGGGCTAACTTTCAAAGTAAGTTGGGCACCTAAATTCAAAACCATGTGGTTTTGAAAATTCTGTTTGGCCAGGGGCAGGAAATGTAGTTTGAGGCAGGGGCTTATTAGTAGCCAAGAGCTATCTCGAGGTAGGAGAGAGATATGTTTTCCTGTCCCAGGTCATGGAAAGCAGTAAGAGCTATAAAGCTGTTTCTTCCACACTCAAAAGGATTAGTGGTAGTTTGTGTAGATGTGCCTGAGCTAGGTTTAAACTTTACTAATGATGACAGAACTGGCAGCTGCCCAGAATGCAACACAAGCTATAAGGAGATACTGGGGCAGTTTGTTCTTTGGCTTCCCAGTTGTCACCACCCATGTGAACTAGTTTGAGTACATCTGTACAAACTGCCATCACAACTTTGAGTGGAATATAAGGACACCCCCAATCTTATGTTAATATAAGGAGAGAAATATACACCATAGTGATCTTGATTTAGCAGCTGTGGGACTGCTAATAGAAGCAGCAATTCTTTTGTCAATTATGTGATGTGAGAGCACTAGGCAGTTTGAAGGGTTAGTGTCTAGGACCCAGGCCAGGTCTGCAGTACAGGCTTCTGTCAGCACAGCTATGTCAGTCTGCAGTGTGGCCCCTGACCAGCATTACTCTGCTGGCAGAACCTTTTTATGTACACACAGTTAATTATATTGGCAAGACTGCTACCATGTATATCACTTTTTTTTCTCTAAGGGGTGGTTTTGCTATACAAGTAAAAAAATTCTATCTGTCAGTGTAGCTGTGTTCCTGTTTAAAGCCTGTTGCTAGTACAGTATATTGATGTAGCAATGGGTGTGACAGGTTTGCCATTTTGTAGGCATGTGGGGAAAGAAGTAAACATACCCTGCCCTGCATATGGTGGGATAAATATATTTAACTAGCCAACTGCCCGTCAAGAATGATGAGGGGTGGGGGGGAGGGAAGTGGGCAGGAACGGAGCCCCATATGTGCCTACCCCTGGGCCCGCTTCCCCTTTCTCAACCCACCATGGTAGACCCTCCTGTGTTGGGCCTGGGCCCGCTCCTTCCCTCCCCACACTGCTGATGCATTAGTCCTGCAGGTGGTGACAATGAAAGTGGGGAGGTGCGGGCTGAGGCCAGTGCTGGTGGCCTCACCCCTGCCCCCCTGCAGCATCCTGACCCTGCTCTCCCCGCCCCATTGCCACTTCCAAGGAGAAAGCGGGGGGAGGCAAGGCCAGCTTTGGTGGCCTTGCCCCCTCTACACTCCATAGTCACTGCCTGCAGGGAGCAGGGCAGGGGGGGCAAGGCCAGTGCTTCTGGCCTCACCCCCATTCTGTCCACTCCATTGCTGCTGCTGCTTGCAGGCAGCAGGGGCAAGGCTGGTTGTGCTGGCCTCGCCCCCACTCCATCCCCTGTGTCCCTGCCATTACGGCAGTGCTCTGCTGTGTCATCACCTCCTGTCCCAATGCTGTATTTGCACTCTTATTGGTTGTTTCAGTCAGCCAATCAGTGCGAATAAAGCATTATGGGCCGACAAAGGCTTTTATAATATTAAATACTATGATGGTACAACAGAATATGGTTAGGCTTTCATAGCATCCTTCAAGAGCTCACTTTGCACAAGTCAGCATTTTCCAATATGAACTGAGCCACACTAATATACTCCAAATACTGGGAAAATTGCATTTCTATCTAAATTGGCTGGCACTGTTTTGTTTACTATATGGGGGTGCGTGTGTATAATTTTTTTTCTTGAAATAGCCTATATTAGAAGCAAGGAAGCAACAACATAAGCTACAGCTTTGAAATGGTAAAGATATCTGACTTGACTAGACTTCTGCAGAAACTTGTTTAACAGTTTGCTCAGGACCAGCCAACGATTAGGAGTTGTAATGAAATAAGTGAAGGTCAGTAAGGGTGGGATGTAGAGGGAAACTTTGTTTGTGATACACCAAGGTGTTTTACACTAATCATTACTTCATACTTTAGTGTGAAGCCCCATTGTGCAGTGAAAGCTCCAGTCCAACTGGTCTATTTTTATATTGCATAATTTAGAAAGGGAATGTGTCTTACAGGAATGTGAGTCATCTCCTGCCGACTTCTGATTTTGCCAGTGACTCATGAGACCTTAGAGCTTTTGTTATCTCTTCCACTTACCTTTTGTTAGTCTTATTTAGTTTAATGGAAAAAATACCATTTACTTGCATCCTAGGGGTGTTGTGAGATTTCATTATTAGTGCCAGCAAGGTTTAATCTAGTCCAGGTTTTGAATCCAACAATATCATTTACCCTGAAAGTTTCCAATCAGGTTCAAACACTGTAACAAGCCGAGTGCAGATTCGCCTGAATGTGGCACTGATTCCCATGCATACTTTTTTCCTAATTCAACCTTCCCTTGGGGAAGGTATGTGGAAGGTGAAGTGGACACCTGTGCTTGCTTTAATTTTTTGGATTGCTCTAGCGGGCTAATCTCTCTCAAGACAGAGTATAGAGCACCTAAGGCTAGAGGTGCACCGATATATCAGTCCCAGGTCAGATTGGCACCGAGATAGGGAAAATTGCAAGTAATGGGAATTGGCCTTTTTTGCCTGATGTGGCAGATTTTAAATGCCATGTGCATACGCACAGTTGCAGCATGCACACGAGCAGGAGCACAGCCCGGCAGCTTGGAGAGCAGCATTGGTTGGTAAGCTTGTTGTGGGGGAAGGGCAGATTGAGGTCCCCCAGTGAGGGAGTGGAGCTGGGGCAGGAACAGACGCTGCCCAGTTGGGGCAGGGTGCGGGATGAAGCCCTGAGCATCTGGCCTGGGGAGGATGCTCCTGCCCCTGCATGCACCCCAGGAGGCACACACCACCTGTGTGCCCCTGGATCTGCATGCGGGGCAAGGGGTGGGTTGCTGCTGCAGGCTGGGGCAGTACTGGGCTCTTCCCAGTAAGGGGCCAGGCTGCGCTAGGAGCAGGGGCTATGGCGAATTCTGGGGTGGCTGCAGGTCCCCCTGTAGCTCCCCTTAGTGCCACTGCTGCCCGCCCCAAGCGCAGCCCGGCCCAGCCCGCCAGGAAGAGCCTGGCACTGCCCTGGCTACAGCCTGCCCTCCCCTGTGCAGATCTGGGGGTACCCCACCACGCCATCCTGGGGTGCACACAGCCCCAGGAGCCACCCTTCCGTACCCTGGATAAGCTGCTCGCGGCTCCATCCTGTGCCCCGCACCATGCCAGCTGTGCAGTGCCTACCCTGCCCTACTCCCCCCGCACCGCAGGGGCCTTGACCTGCCCCCGCCCCCCAACTGCCGTACCAGGCAGCCAGCGCTCTCCAAGCTGCCCCGCTGCACGTTCGAATCAGACTGACGTGGGTCGATATGGCACCCAAAAAATCTCCATGGGTGCACCCCTACCTACGGCTCCTCCGGGAACCTGGACACGGCACAAAGCGGTGGTGGAGGAAGGGCTGAGGCCACCAGACGTGCAGGTGTCCTGACACGCAAGCCACACACCTGTGCTTCCTGCCCGCATGCAGAAGCGGTGACTGGCCGGGGCAGCGGGAGCCGGGGCTGGCAGCCCCTCGGCAGACGGGGCCGCGCCAGGAGCCCTTTCCCTCGGTGCTGAACGGCTGCGCCCGGGCAATGCACGCTAGAGCCGCCCCGCCCGAGCTCGGGGACGGCGAGGTCGTGCCCGTCACGTGCAGGCGACGCGAGCCGGGCCAGAGGCGGGAACCCATGCAGGAAGCGACTTTCTGTGGGGACTCCATGTCCCAGGGTGCCCCGCGGCGGCCTAGGCGGAGCGGGGCACGCCGGGAACGCGCTGGCTGCGCCCTGAGCTCCGCATTCGCCTGCTCCTGGGGAAAGGCGTTTGTTCTCGCTTCCGCCTCCTGGGTCCTTAAAGTCAAACAATTGACGCCAGTGGGACCCAATCCACGTCTTCCGCCCTGTCCCCTCGGGGCCAATGAGAGGAGGGAGCGGGTGGAGCAGGCTTTCGGCGACCAGCAGGCGCAGTGGCGTCAGCGGCGTTTGTCTGAGAGCGACGCCCGCGGGGGAGGCGCGAGTCCCATTTAAAGGGCCAGCGCCGACGCGAAGTTGTGCGGAGTTGGCGGGGCGGGTGCGGCTACGCCCCAGGCCGCCCGCACGCACCATGGAGCCGGC